AAGAAATGCTATAAAACAAAAGCTATAAAACATTTTCTTTTAAGTTATAAAGCATATACAAACAAATGAAGAATTTTAGTTCGAATAATTCTTAGCAAATAAATTTTATATTTTAACTACTGCAGTCCAAAAATAAAAAAATAATTTTATTAATACTTTTTTTAGTTACTTAACGTGTATAATCCCATTATATTTCGAAGAAATTCGATTTTAGTCAAGAAAATATCTATTTATTTTAGTTTCTAGTAGTTCATCTTTACCGTTGCTAAAAATTTACTATTATATTTAAAAAGAAATTTCTGCTACTTTCTAGATTAAATCGTAGTTATTAAATAAATAGAATCTAAAAGAGTGCTATTTAACAGACGCTATGAAATCGTTTTCTTCCAAACTTTAAAGCGTTTACTTACAAGTAATAAGTGTTAAGTCTAAAAGAATTATGCAAACATCATTTATATTGGAACTATTGCAGTGAAAAAAAAAGAAAAAAATCATTTTATAACGACATTTTTTGGTTACATTACGTGTAGATTTCCATTCGTTCTCGTCGAAACTCGATTGTAGTTAACCTGACATCCATTCTGTGATGTTTCTAATAGCACATTGTACCTTCGCTAAAAACTTTTCAATATTTTTAATAAAAGTTTTCGCTGCTTTCTAGATTAATTATAACTAAAAACTATCAAATATCTAAAGAAATGCTGTAGAACAAAAGCTTTAAAACATTTTCTTTCAAGTTTTTAAATCGTATACTAACAAATGAAAAGTGTTTGGTCTAATAAAATCTAGCAAATAACATTTATATTTTAAAAATTGCAGTCTAAAAAAAGAGGAAAAATCATTTTATTGCAAAATTTTTTGGTTACATTAATTGAAGAATTAAATTCTTTATCAACGAAACTCGATTGTAGTAAACCTGATGTTTATTCTGTTTCGTTCTCAGTAGCACATTTGTACCGCTGCTTAAAATGTTTTAGTATATTTAAAAAGATATTTTTGCTACTTTCAAGATTAAAACTACAGTTAAAAACTGTAATATTTCCTAAAAAGAGCTACATAACAAAAGATATAAAAAATATTCTATTAAGTTTTAAAGCGTATACTAACAAATGAAAAGTTTTTGGTCCAATAAAATCTAGCAAATAACGTTTATATTTTAACAACTGCAGTACAAAAAAAGAAAAAAAATTAATTTATAACAACATTGTTTAGTAAAATTGCGTAAAGAATTTAATTCTTTTTCAACGAAACTCAATCGTAGTAAAACTGATGTCTATTCTGGTTTGTTTTCAGTAGCACATTTGTACTGCCGCATAAAATGTTTTAGTATATTTAAAAAGAAATTTTTGCTACTTTTAGGACTAAAACTGTAGATAAAAACTATAAAATTTTTAAAAAAGAGCAATAAAACAAAAGCTATAAAACATTTTCCTTTAAATTTTAAAGCTAATACTAACAAATAAAATTGGTATTGCTAATAAAATATAG